GGGGCCCTTGAAGTGCGTGTCCGACGCATCCCTCTCTCTCATCCTCGCTTCCAACTGCAGCAATAGTTGCCGCTCCTTCCCGTCGCTGCCCATCGAGCACGCACTTTGGCGTTCCTACTGCTGCCCGTTGCCGCCCGCCTCGGCCAGCTCCGCTGCGCCCAGCCACTTCGCATCAAAATGAAGTAAGTGTCTCTCGATGCGCGGCAGTATGTGCTCGGGCGCAAGATGAGTCTCGAGCGCCCTCGGGCTCTAAACCTCACATGTAAACGACGAACAAATAGTGATGTTGCGTTGCTGGCTCGTCAGGTCCCTCGCGCTGAAATTATGGATGCGCCTCTCGTAGTCTGCCGAGGCTGATGGGCGCCGCTGAGCAACGGCTGGATCTGCAAAATTGCCGCTTCACAAATTGCAGTAATTCGACAAAGTGACTGCGCGGGGGGTGCGATCCGCGGCGCGGATGCGCCTCGGCATCGCTTCGGCGCCCCCTCTGCCTTTCGTGCAAAACCTGACGCAGTGCAAGACCATGTGCTTTCTGCCCATGAAGTCACCATTGCATACAAGGCAAATCACCCCAGAAGCCCCCACCATGCCGCAAGGAGCGGGGAGGGGGGGCAGGGGGTCAAACTACCCCCTTGGAATCCTGAGGGGGGGGGGGGGGGGAGGAGAACAGCGATGAAACGTTCCCTGGGCTTACATTCCAAGACGTCTATCTGGCAGAAGATGCCCCCCGACTCCCCGACAACTTTTCAAACCACTTCCTGCTAGGAGATCGATAAAAGCCCGGCCTTCCGGGGGAAACCCAGCGCCGCGCCGCAATTGCTGCGGCCGCGCATTAGCTGCGGGCGAAGCTCGACCCCGATCATCTACATTATAACCATTTCACTCGCAGTGAGCCCGCCCGACCAGAGCTGCGATTACGCGCTGGTCCACTTCCTGATGAGTCACGGCGTCCTGGGGCCACTTCAGTCCCCGAGTGCGCAGCTCCGCTAACAGCGCGCCAAACTTCAGATGCCTCTGAACCTGGGGATTGGAAGGGGCCCTGGTCTTATCCACTTGCCTCTGATTGCGCGCGCCACTGAGAACTGCACTCCTGAACTTGTAGACCAGCTGCCGCGGCGGCGCGAGCGCCTGGACGGGGGGCGCGCGCGTTTAGCGCGAATGCCTCGAGGCCCGAAAGGCCGCGTTGTTGACGAGCCCGGGGGACACTATGCCTTCAAACCTAGTGGAGATCCTGGGGGTGGCCAGAACTTGCCCATCTTGCGCCATGCTGCGCGTTTTGTCTGCATCCACAATTTTTCCTCGCCGAGAACCCGCGGTTGAAATGCTGCCGACCTCCCGAATGCCCGGCTTCTGCTGCGACCTGCCCGTCGATGCGTTGCTTGCGCTCATGAAATGCCCTGTTCGACGACCCTGCCTCTCTTCCTGCGCCTCGTGAGATCCATCTGCTTGTCGATGTTCTGCGCTCCTCCGATCTCCTGCGTGACGTGATCACCCGCCTTGTTTTCCCATTCTGCGACTGCGGCCAAACGCCGCGCACTCGCGCCCACAAGCTTGCGGGCAATCTCATCAAACAACTGATGCAACAAGATCTGCAATAGGTAAATCATGCTCTGCTCGCAGTTGGAAAGGCAATCGAGCGCGAAGTGCTCGCTGCCACGGGTCAGCGACCACCTCGTCAAACATCGCGCGCGCGCCGATGCCGTAGGCCTTGGCAAACAATTTGGTCGTCGCGCGGTAGCCTGGTAGTACGCCGCTCTGGTTTGTCTGAAGTCAGCTGTGAACGCCGTCTTCAATCGTAAACGTGCTGCTGTGTATCCGTTAAGAAACCCTCTCCCGATGCCAATGCTAGCTCATCTGCTGCCAATAGCACGAATTGCTTGCATCGTGGAATCTCGTTGCGTGGTTTATACCTTCTCGTCGTAGTCCAGCTGGTCCACACATCTGAACCAGCAGGGCGCCCTCCCGTCTCCTGCGCGAGATGCCCCCGTGAGCCCAGCGTGGAACGCGCGATTTGCGATCCGTGAAAGATCGGGAAAAAATCTGTCAACGCCACCGAAAATCATGATAGGTCTTTCTCCAGCAGTGTGATCCATGTCATTGTGCTCGGGCAGTCAGCAGCAATGAGCCCGGTGCTGCGCTGCTGGCACTCGTTCCACTTGACGAGCTGCGCGACGCAGTACATACATGCATCTCTCAAACACGAGTGCCTGAAGTTCAGCTGCTGGCGCCAGATGCCCCCCTCGACAGTCGCGCGCCCAGTCGGGAGATGCTGACGTCCGTGGAGCAGAGCATGGCGCGCCAGGCCGCGATCCAAGAGGCCCCTCACCCGCTGGTGGCTCAGGGCCCCCATGGAGTAGATGTCCTCTGTGGAAGACTGGTGCTCGCGGTGAGAAGACCTCGGGCGTCTCCTGCCGAATGCCGTCTGCGATGCCGCGTGAGTCTGGACCTGGCTGCTGTTCTGAACTTTACAGGTATTGGTGTTTTGGTCGTTTGCAACGCCAACTTGGCATGGCAAGTACCCTTGGTGCATCTCCCGCCACGCTCCAGGCTGGCGCAGTTCTTCACGATGGTGACTTTGTAATGCTCGACGAAGACTTTCCACGTCACCAAGCGCATCCACATCTGTTGCCATGCAACCTACGGGTTCTCTCTCATCCTCAGTCGGGTTCACCCTCTCACGGTGTGGCTGTACATGATGTTGTGCTTCTTCAGCTGCATTTGGTGAGAACGGTCGTCTCGAAACACCTATGGCCTGCTGTGGAGATTGGGAGCAATGTAACGCTCGTGCGTTGGCGCCTCCGTTCGTGCCGCGCTTAAGAAACTGACTGGTCCAGCCCAATGCCGATGCGCATGTGCCTCCAATTGAGCGCGCAATCCGACGTGCGTCATAAAACTTGCGCTCTCGCCACGCTTCCCACTCCACTCGATCTGCCATGGCTTGGTCCTGCGCCTGCTTTGTCTAACGCGTAATGTGCCGACTGAGGCGTGCAATGTCTACGTTGAAGCCAGCTTTGGCTTCTCGGGCATAAGTTTCCCGTTCATTTTCCAGAAGCTCCGAAACTACAATGCAATGCGACAAGTTCTGATTTGTGTTCTCTGTGTAGCCTGGGGGCGAGGTAAGAATCGTGTTGGCCACGTCACCGATGCACTCCATCATAACAGCATTGATATGATGCACGTTGCCCTCATGTTCCCACTGGTCAAACTCATTTCGATGCCTGGATAAGTTGTATTCAACTGCCTGGATGAATTCCTCCCATCTGTATCCATACAATAACATGGCGTTGCAAGTCTCGGCATTGGGTTTCTGAGCGCGTCCCGCGATCGTCTGAACAATGAACGTGTGATATAACGAAACTTGCAAAAGGAACATGATCTTAGGGGGAAGCGCATTTGCTGTGTTGCAAGCGTTGCCCTTTTCGCAATGAGACCACGCACTCCTGCACCTTTTCGAAGACTGAAATGGGTACTAGAAACAATCAACACGTTCCCTGCAATCGTCCGCGATGGCATGATATGTCACTCCAGCTGCCAAGCAAGGAACTCACAATAACGAGAGCGTGTGCTTTGAGGAAGAGGAGGAGGAGGAGGAGGAGGAGGAGGAAGAGGAGGAGGAGGAGGAGGAGGACGAGGAGGAGGAGGAGGAGGAGGAGGAGGAAGCGGCAGAGGAGGAGGCGGAAGAGGAGGAGGAGAAGGAGGAGGAGGACCCTTTGGCCTCCTCGCCCCCCACGACGCGCCGCCCAGGTGATCCGAGCGATGCCCACTCCAGGGGGCCGCCTGGTGCCTCCGCATCAGGGCGCCGGGGGGCACGCAGGCGACGGCGTGCGGCTGCAGCACCTCCCGGCGGCAGCGGCCGCAGGGAAGGGCCGCGGGCGGCGAGGCAGGCGCTGGCGCGCAGCGCGGCACGACGGGGGGCGGGAGGGCGGGAGGCGCGAAGGGGCGTTCCAGGAGATCCAACGTGCTGACCAAAAAAACCAAGGCGGAGGTTTTTCTAGGCTTTCGGCCTCGGGCCGTCCACAAACGGCTCGGGACGAAAAGCCGGTCATGAGGAATGGGTCGAGGCTTCTGGGGGCCCTGTGTTGAAAAAACTACGACATCGGATCTCTGGGCCTGGGCCGCGAGAAATGAAGAAATGGGGGGGGAGGCGGCACATGAGGGGGGGGCTGGGATAGGTCGGGCATGTCGCCCTACAGGCGGATTTGGGATGAAATCTTAAACACATTTCAAAACTACCCCAAACATATTCATATATATATATATACATATATAGAATCGTCCCCAGACTATTGCTCAAAACTTGTTTTGAATATTCCCCCTGTAGAGGGACAGGCCCGACTTAAGGGTGGGGGGGGGGGCAGCGAGGGTGCAGACACGTGGCGCGCCACAGGGCCCCTCGAGGGGGGCCATTCGGGGCCTTCGCGGGGGCTCTTTTGGGGCCCGAAGAAGGCGCGCCTCCCTCCCCCCCCCCTTCACTTGTCGCTCCCGCGCTCATTCGCGCCCCAAGGCTGAGGGGCAACGATAGGGGGGGACTGGCACAGGGGGGGAAGCATCGACCTGGAATCGGCGATACATCGCCGATAGATCGGAGACAGGCCTTCGATCGTGAATCCGCACCTTCCTGGGCAAGTTGGGGCTATCGGGCCCCCATCGGCGATCAATGGGCGATTGGGGGTCGGTGCATCCCCTCTATGCCTATCCCCCCCTTACCGTTGCCCCGGAGAGGCGCAAGGAGCCGGAGGGGCGCCGGAGGGGAGCCGGAGGGGCGCCACACGCAGGCCTCGAGTCTTAGGGATCCGACGTCGTGATTCGTTCAATGCGGGGTCCCTAGAAGGCCCGGCCCTTGCCCCAGGACTGGCTTTTCATCCCGAGTCTGACGTTGCTCCCATCGTACTTAAGGACCTAACAGTCCAAGGAAGAATCTCGAGCACCCCGAAAGACATCGAAACGGTGTCGAGCGAGTGTCGCCTCCCAGGGCCCGACACGCGAAAACCCTCCAGTTTCGGCACTTCCTTCGTGCAGTAGGTTGGAACACCATAGCCCGAATCGTTTCTGGACGGTCCCGGGGCCTGGTGAGGGTCCCTGGAGGCCGAGCACTGCGAAACACGTCCGTCTTGATTTTTCAATGCGTTGGGTCTTTGGGGGGTCTGCGCGGGCGTGCCCGAGAGCAGAGCGAAGCACGACGCAGGAGCCGCGGCGAAGCAGACACACCGCCGCCACCGAGCGCCCACCTCGGCGCGGCGGGGAGGCCACCGGAGACGAAGGCAGGGCGAGGACATGATCGGACGAGGGCAAGCCCCCAGAGCCCCGACGCTGTGCTCTGTTCACAACGTCGACCCCCTGAAGTCTGGACCCCTTCCCCGGGGCCCCTGCGTCGCTCTTTGCCGGCCCCGAGACCGGGCATGGGCCCCCAGAGGCCGAACACGTAGCGATAAAAACCGTCCGTCGTGATTTGTGCCACCGCGCGGAGGAGGAGTGAGTGAGGAGGGAGGAGGAGGAGGAGGAGGAGGAGGAGGAGGAGGAGGAGGAGGAGGAGGAGGAGGAGGAGGAGGAGGAGGAGCGTGCGCTGCGGCCCTTCCGGGGCGGAGGGGAGCGGCCCGGAGGCCCCGCGCCCCTGAGCGCGGCAGGGGCCGCGCCCCGCGCGGCGGCAGCGGCGGACGCCGGGCGGCGGCGCGCCGCGGACAACGGACCCCTCGGGGAGCGTCGGCGTCGTCGTCGTCGGCGGCGTCGTCGGCGTCGGCGTCGTCAGCGGCGTCGGCGACGGCGTCGGCGTCGGCGTCGTGGTCGTGGTCGTGGTCGGGCCTGCCTGGCCACCCGGCAGGGCGGCACGCCTGGGCGCCACCCCGTCTCAGGCGCGCCGCCGCTCGGGCGGTGCCGCCGCCGCGCCCCGTGGGCGGCGGGGCCCGGGCGGCGTCCGCCGCTCGGGCGGTGCCGCCGCCACCTTCCCTGGGGCTCTTGGCGGCGGTGGTCGCCGATCCTCCTCCTCCTCCTCTTCCTCGTCTTCATCCTCTTCCTCCTCTTCCTCCTCCTCCTCCTCCTCCTCGTCCTCCTCCCCCTCGTCCTCCTCCTCCTCCTCCTCCTGCTCCCCCTCCTCCTCCCCATCCTCCACCTCCCTCTCCTCCTCCTCCTCCTTCTCCTCCTTCTCCTCCTCCTCCTCCTCCTCCTCCTTCTCCTCCTCCTCCTCCTCCCCCTCCCTCCTCGTCCGCCTCCTCCTCCTCCTCCTCCTCCTCCTCCTCCTCCTCCTCCTCCTCCTCCTCCTACCCCTCCTCCTCCTCAGCCGCCTCCCTCCTCCTCCTCCTCTTCCTCCTCCATTTCCTTCTCCTTCCTTCCTCCTCCTCCTCCTCCTCCTCCTCCTCCTCCTCCTCTCCTTCCTCCTCCCCCTCCTCCTACTTCTCCTCCTCTGACTGCCAGGGCGAGGCGGGTGCGAGCTACAAGACGAAGAGTTGCTCCTGTCGTCGTTGCCGTCGCTGCTGACAATGCCGTCGACGGCGTCGGCGCCCCCCGGCGCCGTCTTCTCGCCGCTGTCGTCGTCATCGGCCCTCTTCGTTGTCGCCGTCTTCCTTGTCCTCGACGTCGCGGGCTCTAAGCGTCGACGATCGATGTTCGAGGATCGCGGTTTCCGTATGTGTGGTGTTGCATTGCCTTGTCATTATGGGGACCTGCGCGAGGGTCTCTTCGGGGCCGTGGGAAGCCTACGACAATATCTGGAGGCCAGGGTCCTCTTCCGAAGGCTACAAGAAGCCTCCGACGGCTGAGGGCGTCGGTCGTCGTGGGCCGACGTCGTCGTCGACATAGTCGCCTGCGTCTGCATCGTCGCCGTCGTCTGCGTCGCAGTCGGGCGCGTTTTTGTTCGTGGTCCCAAATGTCGTCGTCGTTATGTGCAACGTTGTCGTGGTCAAGGTGGCGAAGGGGGCAGGAAGGAGGGATTCACGCACAATCTGGAAGCGCCAACAAATGTCTCATGCAACAGAAGGCCCGAACGTCGACTCGGCACATAATTTAACAGTTTGCAGCCTACAATGAAGAGGGAGGAAGGATGACTAGAGGGATGAGCTAGTGGGAGGATAGGGGCAACCTCTCCTCCACCAGCCGTCCCTTCTTCTCTTTCTTCCTCGCTCCCAGCTCCTCCCCTCCCCGACATCCCTCGCCCTCCTCCTCCTCTTCCTCCTCCTCCTCCTCCTCCTCATCCTCCTCCTCCCCTCCCCGACATCCTCGCGCCCAGCTCCTCCCCTCCTCCTCCTCCTCCTCCTCCTCCTCCTCCTCCTCCTCGGATTCCTCATCCTCATCGTCATCCTCCTCCTCCCTCCTTGACTCCCGTCGACGACGTCCGCAACTACGAAGTCGACCATCGCCACCTCGACGCCGCCGCCGCCGCCGCCGACGACGACGACGACGACGATCCCGACGAAGACGACGACCCCGACAAAGACGACCCCGACCACGACCACGACGACGACGACGCCCCGCTGCTTGTCGGGCGTTGCCAGAAGCGTGGTACTGGCCCAAGTTGCCTTAAGCTATATGTTGCTCCCATTGCACTTAAGGGCCACATCCCAGAAACAACTTCGAGCACCCAGAAAAGTGTCGAAACAGTGTCGACCGAGTATCGCCTCCCAGGGCCCGACACATGACCACCCTCAAGTTTCGGTACTTTCCTGGTGCTCGGAATTCTTGCTGGTGGTCAAGGTTAAAGTAGGTTGGAACATCATAGCGCAAGATGTTCGCGCCCTTCTGGAGCCCTCGGGGCCTCGCGATGGGGTGCTCTGGAGGCCACCTGGGCGCCGAGGAAGCCGCCAGAGAGCGAGGGCCGCTGCGAGCACGCGGGGAAGGCCGCCGACGGGGGGGGCCCACCAGGGCGTGCTCGTCGTCCCGGGGGGCGGGCGCGGGCGCGTCCTCGGCCGCACGCGGCGCCCCCAACCAGGCGCTCCTGACCCTCGCGCTCCTGAGGCCCTCCTCCTCTTCCTCCCTCCTCCTCCTCGTCCTCCTCCTCCTCCTCCTCCTCCGACCGCATCGTCATCCTCCTCCTCCTCGTCCGTCTCCTCCTCCTCCTCATCCTCCTCGTCCTCCTCCTCCTACTCCTCCTCGTCCTCGTCCACCTCCTCCTCCTCCTCCTCCTCCTCCTCCCTCCTCCTCCTTCTCCACCCGCCCATCCTCCTCCTCCTCCTCCTCCGCCTCCTCCTCTCCTCCTCCTCCGACCGCATCGTCCTCCTCCTTCTCCTCCTCCTCCACCTCGTCTCCTCCTCCTCCCTCTCCTCCTCCTCCTCCTCCTTCTCCTTCCTCCTCATCCTCCCTCATCCTCCTCATCCTCCTCCTCCTCCCTCCTCCTCCTCCTCCTCCTCCTCCTCCATCTCTGACCTCATGTCGTCCTCCTCCTCCTCCTCCACTCCTCTTCCTCCTCCTCCTCCTCCTCCTCCTCCTCCCTCCTCCTCCTCCCTCCCCCTCCTCCTCCTCCTCCCTTCTCCTCCTCCTCCTCCTCCTCCTCACTCCTCCTCCTCCTACCTACCTCCTCTTCCTCCTCCTCCTCCTCCTCCTTCCTCCCCTCCTCCTCCTCCTCCTCCTCTCGTATCGTCCTCTCCCTCGTCCTCGTCCTCGTCCACCCTCCTCACTCCTCCTCCTCCTCCTCCTCCTCCTACCTCCTCTTTTTCCCTCCTCCCCCTCCTCCTCCACCTCCACCCTCCCCCTCCTGCCTCCTCCTCCTCCTCCTCCTCCTCCTCCTCCCCCTCTCCCTCATCCTCCTCCTCCTCCCCGCCTCCTCCTCCTCCTCAGCCGCCTCCTACTCCTCCTCCTACTCCCCTCTTCCTCCCTGCCTCGTCCCCTCCACCTCCACCATTCTCTTTCCTTCTCCTCCTCCTCCTCCTCCTCCTCCTCCTCCTCCCTCTCCTCCTCCTCCTCCTCCTCTCCCCTCCTCCTCCTCCTCCCCTCCTCTCCTCTCCTCCACTCCTCCCACCTCCTCCTCCTCCTCCTCCTCCTCCTCCTGCCTCCTCCCTCCTCCTCCTCCTCCTCCTCCTCCTCTTCTTCCTCCTTCTCCTGCATGTCAATCGCATGGCCTCACAAGAAAACGTCGTTCAGCTCCTAGTTGGCCTCATGGAGGCGTCGAAAATTGCCATGGCAAATTGCCATGGCAAGGGCTGTTGGCCCGTTGAGGGGCGAGACACGGGATGTCGGGAATCGTATGCGTGCCGTACAGCCTCGCCCTTCGGCTCCAACCTCTGGATGATCGAAACGCCCTCGCACTCACCCCCCTCCTGGAGGCAGGAGGACACACATACACACCTATACACACAGACCTCGCGCTCCTGGAGGGAGAAGGGGAGAGGGCCCCACCCCACCCCTCGCCCCATCCCTATCCTTAGGAGGCCAGGGAGGGCGGATAGGAGGGGGTGGGTGGGGGGGAGCACGACCAGGGGGAGGACGAGGACGCCGACACCCCCCCCCGCCGGACCTGGCCTGGGGCGCGAAAAGCGCACAGAGCGAAGGCGCTCTGAGGGGCACCACCGGAGAGAAAGGGGGGGCAAAGATGGCTTGCCGAGAGCTCTCGATTCCTCGACTCCTCGATCCTTCGATCCTCGCCTCATCGAATGCTCGAAGCCTGGGCCCTCAGAGGCGGCGGCCGCGGGCGGCGGCGGCGGCGCCAGCCAGGCGGGGCCGAGACACTGGTCGGTCGTGCGCCGTGTGCGGGCAGCGGCGGCACCGGCAGACGGCGGCAGGCGGCGGCAGGCGGGCGGCGGCGGGGCCGGAGGGCAGGCGGCGGCGGCGCGGGTCCGAGTGCTGGCTGGCCACGTCGTACGCAGGCAACGGGTGGCCCAGGAACGTGGCGTTGCAGGCCGGCGCCTTCGCCGGTGGCGGGGGGTGCGAGCGTTAGGTCGGGCGTGTCCCCCTACAGGCGGACTTTTGACGACCAAAAAGACATAGTCAAAAAATATCCAAAAATATTCAAAAAAAGAGTCGAAACAATTTTTGGATTTTCCCCCCCCGTAGAGGGATAGGCCCGACTTAATGCGAGCGGGCGCCGCCGCCGCGAGGGCCTCAGCGCCGAGATCCCGCGGCGAGCGGCGGCGAGCCGGGCTCGAGAGTCCAGGGCCGAAGGTGCGAGCGGAAGCCGCGCGCCCTGGGCGCGCGGGCGACGGTGCGGAGCAGAGCTGCTCGAGTCTTCCGCGCCGCTGCTCCGTGCGAGTCGGCGCTCGGAGGCGCCGAGGTCTTCCCGATCTGAAGAGCGACCGTGCGGTGACAGACCCTGCGGTGACAGACCGTGCGGTGACCTCGGACCCCCAAAAGACCTCGCCACACGGTCCGTGAACGCACGGTTTTGGGGCCTCGGGTGCCCCAGTCGCCCGAGACGTCCTCGGAGAACGACCCGAGCCCCAAAACCGTGCGGTGACCCGAATCCCCACCGACCCACCGCACGGTGTCGGCACCACCCCGTTTGGGGGCCCCCGGATCGAGGCTCGAGGACGCTGCTGCACCTGAGCCGGGGCCGGAGAGCCGATCGCCAGCGACAATCGCCAACGGCGGCGCCGCCGTCGTCGCGGCCGTCGTCCCCATGCATCCGACGTCTTGAGCTTTCCAGTAAGAGTTCGCCACAAGTCCAGGGCCTTGCCCCAAGGTTTGCTCTTCGTCCTCGAGTCGTTCGCTGACGGCTCCCTGGGCCCAGCGATGGCCCCCCAAATGCCCCAAAATCGCAACAAAAACACACTTTGTCTGTTTGCTCGAGGCGTTGGAGGTCCAGGTCTAGAGATCATGCAATCCACTCTGAGAACAAGCACTCCCGCAAACGAAACCGCTTCTAGTAGCCGCACCCAAGGAAGAACATCGAGCAGGGCAGGGCTATCTCGGAACGTCTGGCAAACGCCAAGAGCCAGGGTCGGGGGGTTTTTTCCCCCTCGTTGAAGGTCGTCGCCCCAGCCAGCCTGGCTGATCTCTGCCGCCCGAGCGGCGCGGAACCAAGACCCCCGATGTTTGTTCTCACGTCGACCCCACCCAGAGATCCAACGCATCGAAAAAACCAAGACGGAGGTTTTTCCAAGCTTTTGGCCTCCAGGGGCCCTCGCCAGGCCCCGGACCCTCCAAAAACGACTCAGGATGAGAAACCGGTGCCCCGGGGAATGGGCCGAGACTTCTGGGGACCCCGCACTGAAAAAATCACGGCATCGGCTCTCTGGGCATCCTGAATCGTGTTTGTTCACGTTCCCGAGGCCCGGCAAGGAACCCCCGGATGCCTTTGCAATAGCGAAGAGCCCCCCGCCGCGAGTTCGTTCACAACGCGAGGGGGCCTGGGGAGCGGGAGTCGTCGTCGGCGTCGTCGTCGTCGTCGTCGTCGTCGTCGGCGTCGTCGGCCGCGTCGGCGTCGTCGGCGGCGGCGTCAACGGCGTCGGCGTCGGCGTCGGCGTCGTCGTCGTCGTCGTCGGCGGCGGCGGCGGCGGCGGCGTCGGCGTCGTCGGTCGGTCGGTCGTTCGGTCGGTCGGTCGGTCGGTCGTTCGGTCGGTCGGTCGTTCGGTCGGCTGGTCGGTCGGTCGGTCGTCAACGTCGCCGTCCGTCGCCGTCCGTCGTCGTCGTCGTCGTCGTCGAAGTCGTCGTCGTCGTCGTCGTCGTCGTCGTCGTCGTCGTCGTCGTCGTCGGCGTCGGCGTCGGCGTCGTCGTCGTCGTCGTCGTCGTCGTCGTCGTCGTCACCGTCTTGCGCCGCTCGGGCCGGGGCGGCCCGTCGCGCACTCGGCGGCGCCCTCTCCGCAGCGCAGGGGCGGCCGCCCGCCAGCAGGCGCGCCCGCGGCGGCGCCGCCGACGGGCACCGAGAGACCGACGAGCCGCGCTCGCGCGCGCGCGGGGGGCCGCCCGGCCGAGGGCGCGCCCGCGGCGGCGCCGCTGGCGGGCCGGGAGACCCGTGCGAGCCGTGCGCGCGCGCACGGGGCGCCGCCGCGCCAGGGGGGGCCGCGCGGGGGCCGGCGCCGCTTGCGGCGGCGCCCTGCAGTCAACCATGCGCGATGAGGGTGCGAGGGCCTTGGGCGCCCATTTCGAAGCTTTGCGAGCGGGGCGCGGCCAGCGCCGGCGGCGGAGGACGGACCGAGGAGGCAAGGATGCAGGGGTGCCCTTGGGAAGGTTGCCCATCCTCACTCTGCGGGTCGACTGCATTGCCCGTCTGCGAGAGAGAGTCCGGCCTGTCAGCCAAAAGAGCACCATGAGATCTTTGAACCAGAGAGAGAGAGAGAGAGAGAGAGGGAGATTCGCCCGTCGGCGATGCAGTGGAGGCCTGCCAGTCCCCAAGGCACCTTCCACAAGAGACCAGACCCTGGGACCCCCCAGGGCGTCCACGGATGTCCGGCGTGGGAACGTCACGCTTGCTATGGCAGAACCGTCGAACCGCAGCCTGGAGGCGGAGGAGGAGGAGGACGACGACGACGAGGAGGAGGCGGAGGAGGAGGAGGAGGAGGAGGAGGACGAGGAGGAGGAGGAGGAGGAGCAGGTGTCTCTTGGCACGGGCTTCCACTGTAGAGTTCGCAGTGGCTCACGGGCTCAGTGTAGGGGGCGTCCGCGAGTGCACCCGCAGCGGCGCTGCCGAGGTGCGGAGCTTGACGCACCGGTGCTCCTCGTCGTCGGCGTGTCCCTCGCCATCGCCGACCGCGGGGGGCCTTTCTTCGACCAGGGCGAGAATGCTGTCACGACGGGGTTGCCTCAGGATGTGTGGCAAAAGTTCCGACGAATCTGGCTAGAGAGCAGAGGAACCACCCTCAGAATGAGCGCCCCGGCAAGAAAGGCGTTGGTAAACGCACCCAGGGAAGGAACCGAATAGGGCAAGGCTGTTCAGTAGCCCCCCAAGGCCGTTTCGTAAACGCCGATCATGGCGCTCGAATGGTGGCCCTCGTGACTGAAGCCCGTGAAGAAGATCGGGTCATCTTTTGCATCCTGGGGCTCTTGGAACCTACCACTGCCAGATCGACTCCCGCGTCGGCGTCCCGCGCGTCACTCCAGGCGCGGCTGGCTCCGCGCCCTGGCGCGGACGCGGCGCGCGGCGATCTTGGCGCCCTCGCGCCAGCGCCCTGGAGAGGGCAGGAGAGCCCAGCATCGGATCGATGAGTGGGATCGGCGATCGAAATGAATCGGAGTGGCGGGAATCGGCAGCGGAGTCGGGAGAAGTCGAATGGGCGGAAATCGGCAGGCTGGCAGGCCTCCGCTGAAACACCGACGCCCGATCTGGGGGAACCTAGAGGCACCGATACCGCTACCCCCCAGACCTCTCCCGGGGTGCGTTCTGACCAAGATTTCGACGCGAATCCAGCGGTGGCGACGAAGGCCTCCCAGGAAGCCCAGAAACGGAAACACGGGCGAAGGGTGGTATGGGTACTTGTCCCTCCTCTGACAATCAGACTCCGAAGTCGAATCGAAGCGGGATCGAGGTGAGCCCTGGAGGGTTGGTGGCGCGCACAAATGGGGTAGGGGCAGGGGGGACGGCTTCTTAGAAGCACCTTGCTTCTTAAAAGGCGCGGGCGTTACACGTACAGGCAAGACACGTGCCTTCTAAAAAGCAGGGGTGCGTCCAAGAAGCCTTCCCCCTTCCCCCTGCACCCCCCTCTCGCCATCCCTCCGTTGCCCCTTCCCCGTGCGTTTTGCGGCTCCGTGCGTAGATAGCCCAACACGCTGCTACGCCGTCCAGAAGAACAGGCCGTCATCCGAGTTAACGTCGAGCACGGCGAGGAGGACGGCGAGGAGGAGGAGGAGGAGAAGGAGCAGGAGGAGGAGCAGGAGGAGGAGCAGGAGGAGGAGCAGGAGGAGGAGGAGGAGGAGGAGGAGGAGGAGGAGGAGGGCGTCGTCCAAGAAGGGGGCCTCGAGTCATGGCCCGAGGCCTGGACGCAGGGGGCCAGGTGACGCGTTGAAAGAAGGAGCGGGTGCTATGAAATCCAGGGAGCTTTCAAGGGCCTCTGCCATGATACCCACAAGCACACTCAGAACCTTGGCGGCGCGCACAAGGGGGCAGAGGGGAGGGGGGAGGGCTTCTGAGAAGGAGGCCGCTCCTTAGAAGGCGCCGGCCTTGCGTGAACATCTATCGATAAGGGCCCGCGCCTTCTAAGGGCAGGGGTGCTTCTAAGAAGCCCTCCCCCCTCCCCCACCCACCCCCCTCTGCCCCTCTGCGCGTGTCCGAGAACCGCAGTAATCCTCGCCCTGTTGGTCGCCACCGACTCTCGGGGAGACACGCAGGACTCGAGAGCGGGGGCCTGGGGTCTCTCAAGCTTGTCCGACGGGGCCGTCGGGAGAAGACTGGGGACCCTCGAGGTGCGGCGGAAGAGCAGAGTCCCAGCAAACTCGCGTCTCAGTCGCACCGGTCGGGGATGAGCTCGCACGTCGTCGTCGTCGACGACGTCGTCGTAGTCGTCGTCGTCGCCGAGGTCCAGGTCGTCGTCGTCGTCGTCGTGGTCGAGGTCGTGGCCGTGGCCGTGGCCGTGGCCGTGGCCGTGGTCGTGGCCGTGGTCGTGGTCGTGGTCGTTCTCGTCGTCGGCGGGAGGCCGCGAGGCTGCGGGCCTGGGCGAGGCCGTCCAGCTGCAGCGGGAGGCCGTCGCCCCCCTCCGCGTGGAACCGCTGCGGCAGCGGGCATGGGCGCTCTCCGGCCAGAGGCCCCCGGCGCCGGCGCCGTCGCCGTCGTCGAGGCCGAGGCCGAGGCCGAGATCGAGGTCGTCGTGGTCGTCGTGGTCGTGGTGGTCGTCGTCGTCGTCGTCGTCATCGTGGTCGTCGTCGCCGTCGCCGTCGTCGTCGTCATCGTCGTCGTCGTCGTCGTCGAAGTCGCGGTCGTCGAGATCTTCGTGGTCGTGAACGAGGTTGTGGTCGTGGCCGTGGTCGTGGTCGTGTTCGCCGTCGCCGCCGTCGGGGCGATCACACCCCCGCGGGCCATCATCTTTCTTTAGTAATCCGAGCGCAGTTTTTCATTCGCGGCCATAATGGGCGTTATGGGGGGGGGACGGGGGGACATCAAGTAACGCGCCCCCCTCCCACCCAGACTCCGGTGCCGGACGTACTGTGGCA